TTTAATGAATTCTCGTCTTGATTATTACACATTATAATTCCCCACTTGACACCTTCTTAGACACTTGATTTTTGGATGCATTTACTATTTGGCAATCATTCAATGTGGCCTTGCATGCGATGTCTAAGTGTCAGAAACAGCAATGTTGATGTTGTGGTTTTGAGGGAAAATATTTATAGAGATGCATAGACTCCCTGGAAGACCAAAAGTCGGAGACTGAAATAGGGTGTCCACAGAGTTAAGAAGACTGACAGACATTACTTGGTTTTGAATTCTGTGGCTGTCAGCCATTGACGAATGCAGTGTATGCCAGGATATCCATCTCCCCAGGACGAAGTTTCATTAGACACTTGGACTGACAGAGATTCGATTTCATTTTGTTCCAAGTGTATCAGAGCAGACACCCCCAAGAAAAAGGAGCATGGATCATTTGCAGTGGCTGTAACCTGTGCCTGAATATGTATGGGTATTTCTGCAAATGCTTTTGCTGATCTTGACACCAAGCATCCCCATAAATATAAAACACATTTTCATCTCCAGCTCAACCAAGACCCCAGGTTTCCCTAGCTCTGCTATTTGCATGACCAGAATGAAGTTTACAAGTTTTATGTGTCATTCTAGGTCATCTGGTAGCGGCTTCTCTGGGGCCAAATCAAATTACCCAAAAACCTGGGTGTGCCCAAGAAGGTGGCAAGTCTACCCAGAAGGGTATCCCTTGATGATATCCACATTGTCCACAAAACAATCCCGATAGCTTGTTTCTACCAGCTCCACTTGATTCTTAATTCCTATGTTCTGGTACACCCGATCGAAAGTAGTGTGTTTCAGGTGGAATGCAGGACCCTATCCAGAGAAGCAGCAACACCAGAGATGGAAGCAAACATGAGGACATGGAGAGAGGGAGCAGCTGAGGACTCTGGACTCATGGAAGGAGAAGGACTGGAGGCCAGGAGGCAGGTTTGCAGAATGTGCCCTTTGGTTGTTTAAATTATTATATATTCCTGAGTGTTTTTGTGTACACACAGAATGTGCCCTTTGGTTGTTTAAGTTATTATATATTCCTGAGTGTTTTTGTATATATCCTCCCCCCTACACCACCCCACCCCACCCCCAAAAAAACCAAAAAACAGAGGGAATGGAAGCAAATACCGTTGAATGAAGATGCATGAAGGATATTGTAGTCATTGCAATGAAATGATGGCATAAAGCCGATGTTCTCCCATGTAAACTATCATTCAGTTCACAATTAAAAAAAAAAAAAAAGTGTGCTTGCTGTCAAGCCACTGAGTGGGACTGAGGGTCACAAAAAACTGGCTGCCATTGGTCTCTGGCCCTGCATTAGCCATTGCAAGATTTCCAGCCCCTGTGATTTTCAACTCTGGATGAAGTTCATCTTCAAACTGCTTTCCATAGATAGATGCATTGCATCTACCTGTCCCTGTTGGGTCACCTTCCTGGATCATTAAGTCTTTGATGATCGATCCTGTGGAATTTGGTGTCATTGTAATCACCTTGATGAAGCAGCTCAGCAAAGTTCTTACAGGTCTTGGGAGCATGCTTTCAGTACAGCTGCAGCACAATGATCCCCGTGCTGGTCTCCAAGTATATGTTGAGTGGCTGCCAGGAGTCTGGGTGGACCGTTGCCACAGTGAAGTCAGCGTGACCCTTCTTGCAGTTGCCTTATTTGCATGTTTTGAATCTACTGTTGTGGCTATTGTGTAAATTCATTTAGTTGAGGGTTTCCCTCATTTTCATTGACCCTCTATTTTACCAACTACTATGTCCTTTTCTAAGGAGCTCTGGTAGCGTAGTGGTTACGAATCGGGCTGCCAACCTCAAGGTCAGCAGTTTGAAACTACCAGCTGTTCTGTGGGAGAAAGATGAGGCATTCTGTTCCCATAAAGATTTACAGCCTTGGAAACCCTGTACAGGGTGGCCATAAGTCAGAACCAACTCCACGGCACACAGCCACCACCATGTCCTTTTCTAGAGTCCTGGTGTGGCGCTGTGGTTTAATGTGCCAGACTGCAAAGCTGTTTGAATTGCAAGGTTGGCAGTTCAAACTCAGCTCACCAGCTGCTCCTGGGAAACCCTATAGAGGGTTGCTCTGGGTCGGAATTGATTCGACGGCACTTAACAACAACAACAAAAATGTCCTTTTCTGAGAAGCCTTGGTAGCATAGTGGATTACGAGCTGGGTTACTAACCACAAGGTCAGCAGTTCAAATCTACCAGTAGCTCCACAAAAGAAAGAGGAGGCTTTTTGCTCCTATAAAGAGTTACAGCCTCAGAAACCCTTTACAGGATCACTATGAGTCGGAACCGACTCCACAGCAGCTCTGGCAGTGGAGGGAGGCCTGGCAGATCAGATTCGATTCGAGTGGGCAATGGAAAAGGTGCGCTTTTTCTGTTTCCCCACACTCCCCTGGTTATCAGGGTGTGGCCAGCTCCCACCCTCATCCACCACCAGTGCAGACCTGCTCTCCAGGAGTTCTAGCTGAGTGGTTGGGAGCCATGGCAGTGTTAGGTGGGGGCTTGCTGCACCACTTTGGTGTACCGCTTTGGTACCTAGACTCAGGTGGGCTTGGCTCTTGACTTACAAAAACCCACAGAGCCACCAGACCAGCTTTTAACTAGTCACCCTGCCCCCAGTACCCCTGTGGTCCTAACAGACACTGAAACCAGCGTCATCAAGGGCTCCCACGAACTACTTCTGGATTCAGTGCCCTGAACATAGGTAACACCAAGGCCAATAGGCACTCCATCTAGGGCCAGGGACTCTGCTGTCACATCTCTTCCACACCCACTTCGTGAGCTCCTTGAATTGCAGGAGCCCCTCAGAGATTCCTCCACTCTGGGTCCAACAAACGTATTGTTTGTTTTTACAAATATGACAGCCTTACAATGCCTCAGAGACAACAGGCAATTTTGACTCACACGAAGAAATAAGAGAGAATGGCTCAAACAAATAACCAAGATGCACACAGATGACCAAGAAAACATTTCTGAGGAATAAAAAGGTAATAGAACTAACTGGGAAAAAAAAAACGGAAAAGAATGATAATTAGGTACCTTCAAAGGATCGATAGAAAGATCAAGAAAAGCAAAGTGAACACAATAAAAACTGTAGAAGAATTCAGGAAAATACTACAAGAACAAACAGACAAAATAAATGCAAATTTTGAAACAATACAAAGCCTGCCATTAGAAATCCAAAAGATTAATGCAAAGACCTCAGAAATGGACAATACACTGAAAGGTCAAAAGAGTAGATGTGAACCAATGGAAGCCCATATGAAGATAAATCTCTCAATACTTGTATGCTAGAAGAACAATCAGGAAAAAGAATGAAAAAAATCCAAAGAAAGCCTAAGGGTTATGTGGGACACCACAAAGAGGAACAACTTACAGGTGATTGGAATTCCAGAAAGGAAGAAACAAGCACAGAGAAAATTGTTAAAGAGTTGTTGGAAAAAAACTCCAACATCATGAAAGACAAGAAGATAAGCATACAAAAAGCTGAATGAACTCCAAACAAGATAGATCCCGAAAGAAAATCACCAAGACGTATCAAATTCAAACTTTCCAAAATGAAAGACAAGGCAAGTATCCTAAGAGCAGCTCAGAAAAAACAAAAAGCTACCTGCAAAAGAGAACCAACAAAACTATGCTCTGATTTCTCAGCAGAAACCCATTCAGGCAAAAAGGCAATGGAATGACATACAAAACTCTGAAAGAAAAAGATTGCCAACCAAGAATCATATATCCAGCAAAGCTATCCCTCAAATACAATAGCAAAATTAGGACATTGCCTGATAAACTGACATATCCAAACTATGTGTGCCAAAGCCTCCTTCTGGTTGTTTTTGTTCTTAGACTGATTAGTTTGTTCTTTTGGTAGTACATAGTATATTCAAAATTCTTCGCCAACATCATAGTTCAAATGCATCAATTCTTCTTCTGACTTTCTTTTTCATTGTCTAGATTTTGCATGCATATGAGGACACTGAAAAGCTGCAGCTTAGTCATCCAAGTGACATTTTATGGTCTTTAAAAACTTTTTTAGAACATGCTTGAGGGCCTGGCTGGATGCTCTGTCTGGCTCTCTCTGACAGCGTGGTCAGCTAGATTCTGAGGATGAAGACCTGGTTTACTGACAATATGATGAGGTACTGATTAAAGGAATTTTGGGGCTTAACCAGCCAAAAAATTAACATAGCTGTCTCAGTTGATGGCTGTATATGGTTATGGTATGTCTACCCTAATGGAACTACTGCCTCCCTGACAGGGCCCGACGGATCGCAAGATGAGAAGTCTGAGAAATTACCGGCTGACGGCTAGTATATTGTACCGTTAGTTGCTGTTGACCGTTTGTTATGATGGTAACTGCCTGATCATTCCTGAGGGAGTGACAGAGCTATATTACTAATAAAGATAGCTTATCGAGACTTAATCATAGCCTGTCTGAGAACAGGCTGGATGTTACGGCTTATTGGGGGATGTATGAGACGATTCTTTCAGGTCTCAGGGTAAGGGTAGATAGTGTGACAGGCTGACAGGCATTGTAAAGGAGCGCCTCCTTTGTCTAGCTGGCAAACAGTGGAGCTGGTAGAAAGCGCTTTTGGTCCGGGTTGCTGGCTTGAGGGTACAAATGAAAGCTACTACAGACAGATTGACTGATATGGTGCAGCACTGTAAGGACCTGAATGGGGCGACTGACTGACTAGCGGCGGTAATTGGGAGTCTGACTGTTAACAACGTGATTGGCCAGCAGCGTGACAAACACACCCGCGTACAGGCAGTGCCTCAAGACAATTCTGGCGCCGCCTCAGTCGCCGTCCAGACGCACTCTGGGAAACCTTCACCGTGCACCCGCCTTCGGGACCCACGAGATGGCGGAGTGGCGTCTAGTCACGCTCGCCGGTTGGTCCGCGCGGGCGACGCTCGCTGCGCTGCGTGACCAATAGGCTGTGCGTTCTCGGCCACGCCCGCGCGAGCTGTCCTCTCGCGAGCCCGGGTAGTCCCGAATGTCGTTAGCTGTGGAGAAAGATGGCGGAAAATTTAAAAGGTGAAACGGTGGCTACAGCGGCGCGGGCCCGTTGGCCGAGCGGGGGTGCGCGGGAGGGAAGGTGTTGCGGTCTTGGAGACCTGGCGTCTGAGAGCACGGAGCCGGCAGCCGCCAGTCTGGCGGGAAAAGGATGGAACTCGGGGAGCGCGGGCCTGGGCGGGGCTGTGGGAAGGGGGCGCGTGTCTCCAAATGCTACGGGCGAGAGGCGAAAGGCTGATACGGGATGGAACGAGCTTGAGGACGCGCGCCTCAGTTTGCTACCGGACGGGCGTGGGTATCTGCGGCGGGTTGTCGGGGAGGCAGTGCCCGCGCGCGGGAAAATGGGCCGCCGGTGACCGTTACCCGCCTCGTGTCCACGCGAGACGCCGGAAGGGAGGGGAGGAGGCTGGGCGCTAGGGTCTGGAAGGACCTAGCGTTCCTTTTGGGATAGGGACCCGAGTGTACAGGGGTAAGGAGGGAAGGAGCTTGGCGTCGAGAGGGCTCCCCCAAGTGAGGGGAGGGGGTTTCTCTAATAGGAGTGTATAGACTCCCCAGGGTGCACGGAAAGGCGTGATTTTGTCAGTTTGTGCGGGAAGGCTGGGCGACCACTGTCGGAGGGGGGCTTCTGAGGGCTAGGAGAATGCAGCTGGGTCCGTGTATGGTGCAAGCGGGAGTCGGCACCTGGAGGGACCCCTTGAGATGGGGTTTCGCTTGCCAGCTAAGGAGTTTGGAAATGAGAGGCGTCGCAGGGGAGAGCAAAGACTGGGCATAGGCCCAGAGTCTGGAAGGGAGAGAGTTGAGTCTAGGCCTGCCTAAGTGGAGGAGGGAATTGCACACGAAATAATTTCTAAAAGCTTGTGTATGTTTTTAGGTCGACGTGCACTGAGTTTAAATGAGCTTGATTTTAGTAATCTGAGGTAGACGCTATGAACCTTTAAAAACGCTGTACTAGGACAAGGATCGACTACACCTGGAATAAGTGTTTTGTGAGCTGCTTTGATAAAATGGCTTCCAAAAGACTGCCCAAAGTCAAGTGCAACTTTGTGTTTATTTTCAACTAAATGTTTCTTTAAAAAATATTCTGTATACATTAGTATACAAGTAACATATACTGCTTTGCCAGTTTCTAAGTTCAGAGCAGACCCCTTTGGGCCAGATTTACCCTTCACAGGAATGTGAAGGGCAAGTCAAACCCTGGTGGGAAAAAAATACACTGGGGTTTAAGGATGTTTTTGCATATATGTTACATTCCACATTCTCTCATTAACAGTTCTGAAATCTAAAAAGCCCTGAAAACAAATAAATTGAGCAGCATTCAGTGTAAAACTAGATGATAAAGTAGAACTACTCAGTGCTACTAGTTTGCATTTTTATTTTAATGTGAAAATTCTTTTGCCGTAGATACATTAATACATTTGACTATGGTAATATATTGGAAGAAGTAATTTGTAAAATTCCTACACACACACAAATTTGAAAACATCTCCCCCCCCCCACAATTCCCCAGAGTTTTAGATAAGAGATTGTGGACTAGTCTTTCCAGTTTTCCCTTTGTTTTATGCCCTGGAGTTTTTAACACCCCCCTTTCCCTTGGGGCATAGCATCCTACTGAAATTGTATGTTAGTGTGTGTGTGTGGGGGGGCGGATTTGTTCCCTTTCTTTTGCAAAGTATGGAGAAGGATGATTAGATCCTTAACCCCAGGCAGGTTTGCCAGAATTTCTAACAGAGGAAGTTTGAGTCCATTCCTTTAAAACCATCAGCTTGGGTTTGTTCCACAAAGAAGAGAGCAGCTCCACTATGGTGGAGCAAACCCAAGTTGAGCCTTGCATTTCAAAGAAATGGCACATTTTGATTGTGGAAGGGCTCTAGCTTTCAGAAAGGCTGGTGGATTAATTTTGACTCAGAGGCCATCTTTGGAAAGTTTCTGGGATGATTTGGGGTTCCCTTTGGCCCCTGACCTGGCCAGGCTACCCAGTAATAGTTCTTCCTGTCCTCTTGTTCCAGGCTGCAGCGTGTGCTGCAAGTCTTCTTGGAACCAGCTACAGGACCTGTGCCGCCTGGCCAAGCTCTCCTGCCCTTCTCTCGGAGTCTCCAAGAGGAACCTCTATGACTTTGAAGTCGAGTACCTGTGTGATTACAAGAAGATTCGTGTGAGTCTGGGAGTGACAGTGACCCTGGGGGAGGTCTCAAAGTAGTTGACTTCCTGTCCTTTTATCCCCCTTCCCTGCCTGGATCTGTTTCCAAAAGAGTTTTTCTCCTTTGATCCTAAAAGACACCTCAGACCCATTTTATAGATGGGGAAATTAAATGGCTTTCTAAGGGGGTAGAAGCCAAAATGAATCCCCAAATAAGCCTACCTTCCCACCTCCCTAGGAAGACAAACCAGTTGCAGAGATTAAGAATACTTAGCTGCTCAGTCCAGGAATGGAGATGATGATAAGTAACAGTAATTGAGTGCTTTCAGTATGCTTGCCACTTTCTAAAAGACTCATTTAATTTCCCATAATTTTCTGGTGTGGTGCTGTAGGATCAGCACCAGACTTTGAACCATAAAATAAGTAGTTCAAACCCACCAGCTGCTCCTTGGAAATTCTATACAGGGTCACTATGAATCAGCCGATTTGACAGCACTTAACAATAACAACTGAAGTGGGAATTGTTACTGTTGCTATAGGGGATTAGTTTAAGGAGAGTTAACAGACTGGAGTCTGTTGGTCTCAAATCTTAGACTTTGTAACTTCTGGTTACTTACTCAAACACTCTAGGAGCTCTGGTAGTGTAGTGGTTACAAATCGGGCTGTGAACCTTAAGATGGCACTTAACAGCAACAACACCCAGACACTCTACTGCAATGACCTCATCTGTAAAATGAAAATTTGTAGCGTATATGAGGTTGTGAGGAGTACACTGTTGTTGTTATGTGCCGTGGAGTCGGTTCCGATTCATAGCGACCCTGTACAGGGTTTCTGAGGCTGTAAATCTTTATGGGAGCAGAACGCCTCGCCTCATCTTTCTCCTGCGGAACAGCTGGTAGTTTCGAACTGCTGACCTTGCGGTTCGCAGCCCGATTCGTAACCACTATGCTACCAGAGCTCCTGAGGAGTAAGTAGTACATTAGTTGTTGTTAAGTGCTGTCAAGTCAGTTCTGACTCATAGCAATCCTGTATAGGGTTTCTGAGGAGTGGGTGGTGAGTTTGAACCACTAACCGTGCAGTTCAAACCAACCTTGTGATTGAGTGCTTATCCTACAGTGCCACGCCAGGACTCCAAATTAGTTAATACACCAAAATTGCTTAGAATGAGACATGCTACATAGTGAATGCTAAAAACATTAGCTGTTATTTACTGGCCCAAATAAGGAAACTGGCCTAGCAAAGTTAAATGACTTGCCTAAGTTAAAGTTAAATGACATAACTAGATCCAATATTTGTAACCAGGGTCTCTAACTCTAGAATATGTGCTGTAGGAGGTGAGGGTGGAAGCAGGGAAGCAATGATGGTGTTGGCGATGAAGATGGTGTGAAGTGGTTGGATTCTGGAGGTATATTGAAGGTGGGGCTGGCAGGATTTCTTAAAGGTGTATATTGGGAGTATGAGAAGGAGTCACGATGACACCAAGATTTTGAGTCTAAATATGAGCTAGAAGGATGAAGCTGATGTTTACTGAGACAGGGAAGACAGTGGAGGAGTACATTTGAGAAACTAGATTAAAAGTTGAAATTTGGACAGGTAAGTGGGATTTTAACCTAATAATCCTAACTCCGGAGCCCTTGTGGTACAGTGGGTAAGCTTTGGATTTGCTAATCGAAAGGTCAGCAGTTTGAACCCATCAGTGACTCCATGGGAGAAAGAAGAGGCAGTCTTGTTTCGGTAAAGATTCACAGCCTCAGAAACTCTATGGAGCAGTTCTGTTCTGTCCTATGTTGTTGTTAAGTGCTATCTAGTCACTTCAGACTCAGTGACTCTGTATATGGTTTCCAAGAAGTACCTGGTGAACTTGAACTGCCAACCAGGCTATAAGCTGGAATCAACAGCAGTGGGTTTGGTTTGTTTAATCCTTACTCTAGGGCCTATGCTTTCTGACCACTGCTTAGAGTCATTTTAGAAGAGAGGTGAAAGTCCCACAAGGGCAGGCCCAAGGGTCTCACCACTTACAGGTTCCCTTGTCTCCTGCCCTCAACAGGAACAGGAGTATTACCTGGTAAAATGGCATGGATACCCAGACTCAGAGAGCACCTGGGAACCACGGCAGAATCTCAAGTGTGTGCGCATTCTCAAGCAGTTCCACAAGGACTTAGAAAGGGAACTGCTTCGGCGACACCAGCGCTCAAAGCCACCCCGGCATTTGGACCCAAACTTGGCCAGCTACTTAGTGCAGAAAGCCAAGCAGAGGCGGGCACTGAGGCGGTGGGAGCAGGAGCTCAATGCCAAGCGCAGCCACCTGGGACGCATCACCGTGGAAAATGAGGTGGACCTGGATGGGCCTCCGAGGGCCTTTGTGTACATCAATGAGTACCGTGTTGGTGAGGGCATCACACTCAACCAGGTAGCTGTGGGCTGTGAGTGCCAGGACTGCCTGTGGGCTCCTGCTGGAGGCTGCTGCCCGGGGGCATCACTGCACAAGTTTGCCTATAATGACCAGGGCCAGGTACGCCTGCGAGCTGGGCTGCCCATCTATGAGTGCAACTCACGCTGCCGCTGTGGCCACGATTGTCCAAATCGTGTGGTACAGAAGGGCATCCGCTACGACCTCTGCATCTTCCGCACAGATGACGGGCGCGGCTGGGGCGTCCGCACACTGGAGAAGATCCGTAAGAACAGCTTCGTTATGGAGTATGTGGGAGAGGTATGGAGAGGGAACTCTGTGTGTGTGTGTGTGTGTCATATCAATGTCTGTGCCTTGCATTCCTTACTGATTGTGCTTTAGTGGAAAGGTCTGGGGCCTCTGATCAAAGTGTGATAAGGGATATCCTGGCAGGACTCACATTGTAAGCTGGTACAAAGACAAAAAGCGGGGACTGAAATTCAGTCAACATTCCATGTGGTCAGACACAGAGTTGTAGCCCCTGCCTGAAAAGGCACTTCCTTTTCTCATTTTCCAAGGGTATCATTACCCAGCAGTGTCTGCCCTTAAGTTGTAGCTGTTAAGTGCCATCAAGTTGGCTCTGACTCATAGTGACCCTGTCTAGGGTTTCCAAGGAACGGCTGATGGGTTTCCAAGTAATGGCTGACCTTGAGGTTCAAACCAGCCTTGCAGTCCATTGCTTTATCCTGCAGCACCACACCAGGACTCCTTCTGTCCTTAATAGGCACCTTTCATCTGCACAAAAGGAACACTGATGGTCTGAAATACAGTGTAGATAGGCTTTGGATGGATGCTTCCTGTAGGCTTTTAGAGGAAAAGGGAGTGTGTATTAGAGCAGGCTAGCCCCACTATAAATGGAGTTCTGGTATGGCGCTGGACTGCTCAAAGTTGGTGGTTCACACCCACCAGCCACTCATCCTGTAATGGGGTCACTATGAGCTGGAACCAACTTCATGGCACTTAACAACAAGCCACTATAATAGGCCATCCTCAATTCTTAGTGGTTTTCTCATGTTCGAAGTTTGCTTGTTCAGTTTGAGTCCAGTGCTGGTGTTTGGATGGACATCCTTTCACACAGTGACCTGGGGACCTGGCTCTTTCCCTCTTGTTCTTTTGCTGTGCTTTAGAGCCTTGGAGGCTTGGATATGGGGTAAGAGTGTGGAGGATAAAGGGAGGTCTGTAGTGGAGTGGAGTTCTAGTGTGGCTCTGTAGGATAAAGCATTGAACCACAAAGTCGGTGGTTCAAACTCAACCAGCTGCTCCTTGGAAACCCTATACTCGGTCACTATGAGTCGGAACAGATTCTCCGGCACTTAACAGCAACTGTAGTGGATCAGACCTTGGCAGTGTGTATCATGTGTGTTCACATTCATTGGCTAAAGGAAGGGTAGGAAATGAACTTAAGCTGTGTGCCCAGATGAAAAGCAAAAGGGGTTTGAGTGAGTGCAACAGAAAGTGGTAGTTTGAAGTTGTAGTTTTCAATGAAGTGGTGGGCATTTTGGGTGGGCCAGTTCTTTGTTATATAGAACTAGTTCATGTGGCGGGGGTCAGGTGGAGGAGTGGGTAGCATTTAGCATCCAGGGACCTTGCTCATTTAAATCCATATGTGTAGCCTATCTTGGTGACCACCCAAAGCACCTCCATGTGTTTTTATAGGTCCCTTATGGGTGTGAAATGGGAAGTGACAGAAACTGGTTTAAGGGACATACACCTGAGAGTGTCCACCCTGAGCAGCAATAGAGAGGGCCATGCCCCGAGAGGGACAGTGACAATCTAGAGGCAGAGCATTCAAATTCCAGAGGATTCTGACGGTCTGGACAAGGCGAAGTCCACATCCCAGATAATCCTGACAGTCTCCTGGAGAAAATGTCCACATGCCGAAGGACCCTTACAGTCCGGAGGAAAGAGAAGATGTCCACACCCCAGAGGGTTTCTGACAGTTTACATGAAGTGGGACCAATGGTCTTGAGAAAGAGGTGCCCTTAGCAGAAGAAAGCAAGCTTGTCATACTGCAGAATACCTTGGCTGTCTGGAAGAGGAGATAGCTAGATCCCATAGCACCCTGACAGTCCCAGAGGAAGTCCATAGTGGGGAGCGACTGCACACTCATACTGAGAGTGGGGACTGTCTACATATGCACTACACTGACAGTCTGCTGGGAAGCTGTCTGTAATACACAGGATCCCCCCAAACACTGCCAGGGCCAATCCCATCTTCCCGTGCTCCCCTAGCAAAGTGGTTAGGAGTGTGGGCTCGAGCCAGACTGCCTGAGTTTGAATCCCAGCTCTACCTCATATCACCTATTGTTTAACCTCTTTCTGTCTCAGTTTCCTAATCTGTAAAATGTAAACAGTAATAGCGCCCACTTCACACACTTGTTATAAGAATTATTTTGTGTTATTATGGAAGAAACTGAATAATGTTCAGTATACTGTAAGCCTTCAATAAATATTACCCATTACAGATCAAAATTCAGAAATCCCAAAATGTCCTGCAAACCAAGTGTTTTTATAACCATTTTTGGGCTAGAAAACCCAACCGGAACTGATAGGGACCTTTTTATCGTCTATTTATCTCACTTGGTATGAATACTCATACATCTCATTGTGGAAATACTAATTTGCTTGATTACCTCACCCTTATTGAGGGTGTTAAGGAGCTCTGGAGGTGCTGTCGGTTAGGTGTTGAACTGCTAACTGCAAAGTTAGTAGTTCAAACTCACCTTCAAACCCACCAGTTGCTCCTTGGGGAAAAAGATGAATGAGGCTGCTGTCTGTTCACATAAAGATTGACAGTCTTGGAAACCCTACGTAGGGTCGCTGTGAGTTGGAATCAACTCAATGATAGTGAATCTGGGTACTGGGACTGTCAGGTAATACAGAACATAAACACCACACATGCACACCACCATTCCTTCCCCTTGAGCTGCCCTTTCCATCTGCACCCTTCCACATTCTGGTCAGAACTCACCACTCCCATAGAACATTCACACACTCATCCAGAAGAGAAAAATTATTATATGTTTTATTGATTCTAAAACATGACATTTTCTTCATAGTTTAACATTTCTGAGATGAAAATGAGTCTTATTTAATTCATAAAATCATGTATCATTTAGGAGCAGTTTTTCCTCTCTATGTAAATGGCACATAAGCTCAAGGTACAACTTAGATTTCAACCATTCAACGTTGCTAGTATCCAAGCTAGAACAAAATTAATTTTAAAAACCTTTCACATCCATGATCTTGGATCTTCTCAACCGCCTCTGTCAGATTGGAATTACTGTCATTGTTTCATTCTATAGATGAAAAAAAACCTGAGGCCTGGAGAGGTGTAATAACTTGCTCAGTTACAAAACTAGTAAAGTAGGTTAAAAATAGAGACCCAAGTGTTTAAAACTGGTACTTTGCCAGACCTGTTGGGTTTTTTGAGGGGAGGGGGAAAACTGGGGTAGACTAAGGAAACGGGCACAAAGAATGAACACCTCAGGATCCCATGACTCTGAAAGGAAAAAGCAACAGCCAGAATTCAAATCTTCTGTTTCCTGCTCACTTCCGCACCTTTCCCAAGCTGCCAGCATCTACCCTATCTGTCTTTCTCAGTGACTCTGGAGAGCTCCTAGGAATGAGGACATGGACTGATTTGTTCCTAAGTTTTCCGAGTAGACTAGCCATTTGAGTAGAATTGAACAGAAGACAGAAAGAAGGAATAGTTTCTGCCCTGCGGGACTCAGAATATGACTCACTCCTGGTGAGACTTGGAGCAAGTATGGGCAGAACAGTCTGAGGGAGCTGGGGAGGGGCCATCATTGAAAACATGTTTCCAACACCACCTAGTATACTCATGGCCCCATAAGCGGCTGACCCTCGGTCCCAGTGCTTAATTAGAGGTGGCCAGCTGCTGGAGTGGGGAGGGAATTGGGAGCAATAGCATCTGTTTGGGCTGTTATTTCAGGGAAAGGGTGTAGGGTGTGTGTTCTCCCTGAGGTGCAGGGAGAGTAACCTTGACTTAACCCTCATTGCTGCTATAACTCCTGTTATGTCCCTCAGAAAGTTGCCACACTTCAGCCTGTTCAGGAGCATCAGCTTGCTTTAGATGATAATCTCTTTTCCACTCTCCCTTGAACTCTAAGCAGTTTACTGATCTACAGCTTGCACTATGGGTGCCTGAGTCCCTCTCTCTGTCACTAGACTGTTATCCCTGAGGGCAGGACCAGTTCTGGTCCCTATGTCTCAACTAGAGTGACACTCTATATATAGACTGGTTAGTGTAGGCCTCAGTAAAAATCTATTGAATGGATGAGTCAATGAGTGAATGAACAGACAAAAAGCTGGGGCATGGTAGAGGGTCCTCATGAAATGGAACTAGAGTGGGACAATGAGCAGTATGTCCTGAGGGCTAAGTCTTAGTTTTATGAAGGTGCTATCGATCAGCATTTGACATGGAGTAGAGGACACTACTGGCCCTCCTGGTGAGGGAAAATGGAGGGTGGTTAAGACTGGAAGGAGACAGACTGGAAAGTAGGAAGAGCATTTTTACTGGTCAGTATGAGGGTATACTAGGAAGGAACTGGTGGGTTTGGGGCCAGTGTTGGAAGTGGGGTGGTGTCTTCAATGAAGGGAGGGGAGAGTTGTCTGTAGGATATCACTTAGGATAGGTTGCTTGGCTAGGAAGCATAATACAAATAACACTTTTTCAGTGCTTACTGTGTTTAGCACACTGTTCTTGCCCTGGTTTCTAAGGAGTTTGAAAAATAGTAGTAGAAAAATTAGAAGAAAAATAGGCCTGCCTTGGTCTAGGGTAGCCTAGCCTGAAAGGGAGCAGCCTTACCAGAGAAGGACATGGACTGTTAACACTTGGGCATCACCAGAATGCTATAGGAAGAGGAGCTGTGAGGTATGAGGGAGAGATTTGTCAGGGTGAGGTGGTGATCCATGGAGGCAAGGACAGGTTGGGGCTAGGATGGTGGAGTACCTTCATGTTTACTAAGAATGGTGGGGAGACTTGGGAGGAGATGCCTATTGCTGTCTTGACTGCAAAGTGTTGGCATGAACAGCCTCAGGACTGAGGGAGGGACACTCTTGCTTCTTTCATTTTCTGACTTTGTCACTCTCTCTCTTGAAGTTTGTGGCCTCAGCATCTCTTAAGGGTCCCAAGCTGTCTTGAAGGCCTTGGTCTTGTCTCTGGACCAAGGTCTTTCTTGCTAAGATTCTGTCTGTGCAGCTAACTGTCTCTCTTTCGGAATCTCTGTCTCTCTCTTTCCACACTCCCAGGTCTTTCGCTCCCCTCCCTCCCACTGTCTGTCCTGCTCTCAGCACTGCTCCATACTGGTTCTCAGCTAGGTCCGTTGGTCTCTCTTTCCCCCACTCCTCCCAGCTCTATGGTGCCTGGTCTCTCATTTGTAGTCTTATGCTAGACTTTCTTGCTCTTAACCTTGCAGTCTGTCGCATACACTCTAGTGCGCATGGACCCTTTTACACCTTGCCATTCTCTTGGTTGGTGTCTCTCTGGGTCTGTCTGGTTCTGTCCCAGTGGCACTGGAAGCTCTGGGGTTCCCCAGGCAGTTCTGGCTGGACAGCAGGACTTTTCTTTTACTCTAATTTAGCATTGTGGCCAGAGACTCCTCATTACCATTACCACCTAGAGGCCTGTGGTGTGGGCAGATGGGTGGGACTGGCCCCGTGAGAAGGACTCGTTCCAGTGTCTGACATGTTTGTCAGCCTCAGAGTCGGCCACATGGGATAAGGTATCTCCCTCTGAGGTGGTCTTTTCTTCCCATGCAGTGGGGAGGGGTAAGCTGGGGAGCAGGAGCTGTGCTGGCCTTTCTAAGTCTTTGAGGACAAACTCCCTTCATCCTCTGGCCTTTTCTTCAGATCATTACCTCAGAGGAGGCAGAACGGCGGGGCCAGATCTATGACCGCCAGGGCGCCACCTACCTCTTCGATCTGGACTACGTGGAGGATGTGTATACCGTGGATGCCGCCTACTACGGCAACATCTCCCACTTTGTCAACCACAGTGTGGGTACTCCGGCAGGTGGGCAGGTGGGCTGGGAGGGACAGGCCAGGGCCCCTCCTCTCATATTCCTGCTGTTCTTTCTCGCCCAGTGTGACCCCAACCTACAGGTGTATAACGTCTTCATAGACAACCTTGATGAGCGACTGCCACGCATTGCTTTCTTTGCCACAAGGACCATCCGGGCAGGCGAGGAACTCACCTTTGATTACAACATGCAAGGTGTGGGAGTGGCAAGGGATGGGGCAAGGGTACACAATGGCATAGGGCAGGAGAACCCCTTCCCAAGGCACACTAGTGCCTCAGAGAACCAGGGGAAATGCTTTAGCTGAAGCATTAAGATGCTCTTTGTGACTCCCAATCTCACATCTGGACTCCTGCCCACCTCTCAGGGCCCCTTCATTCCCAGCCCCTGGACACCAATCCTGAGACACTCATACCAGTTTCTCTTAAGGTTTCTGTCGAGGAGGTTAGGCTAGAGTTAAGACATTCCTCCTGACTAGTCTTTCTCAGTGTCCCTGATTCTCCAACCCCTCCCTACCCCTAACCTGCTTTGGCCTTCATTCCAAGCCTCTAGTCACTGTTGTGGCCTCTGAACAACCCTCTCACTGAGAAACTACCTCTGAGTCACTCATAAGATAGAGAGTTAAGATGCCCCCTTAGATGCTTGGTTAGTCCTCTATTCCTGACCTTTGCCTGAAAGACTCTCCAGGTTTTTACCTGATGGACGATGCCTTTCCCACAACCCCTGCCATGGGCCTTTTCCTAACATGTCTATACCCTTCCATTGTTGATCCCTGGCTCTCTGATGAGCCTAAACCACTGATGAGCCCAAACCACCAACTATAAGTTCCCCTTCTAATCCAAATCCCAGCCCCCAAGATCTACAGTCTCATGGTGAAAGGGTAGTGGGAAGCTTCCTCCAGATCTTCTAACAAGTCCCCTCCCTTCCTCCTGCCCTCCTCCCACCTTGGCTGACTTCACAGTGGACCCCGTGGATATGGAGAGCACCCGCATGGACTCCAACTTTGGCTTGGCTGGGCTCCCTGGTTCCCCCAAGAAGCGGGTCCGTATTGAATGCAAGTGTGGGACTGAATCCTGTCGCAAATACCTCTTCTAGCCCTTAGAGGTCTGAGGCCAGGCTGACCTTGGGGGCCTGATGCTGCCTGCCCGCCCACCCACTGCTGCCCTCCTGTCAGAGGAATGACTGTCAGGGCCTCCTGCCTGCTGCTGCCTGCCTCACATGCTCCATGCTTAGAGCTGTGGGGCTGCGGTCAGGATTGAACCCAGGAGTTCCCTCTCCCCTTCCCAGCCTATTCTGGGGCTGCACTTACAAACCCCTTGCCTGCCTTCAGAAGTCATTTTTCTACATCAGGAGTTTCTGCAGTCAAGATCTATCTATGGCTTATAAAGGAGGTCTAAGGGGGTGAGTTCTAGCCCAGCCCAATATTTGAAAAATGTTTGTTTTTGCACCTGCTTCTGCCTGGAGCTTGAGGGGTCTATTGCAGGGCTCCCTCCCTACTGCCCCGAGGAAATGGGGAGGCAACTCTAGGGCAGGCAGGCATGCTTGTTCAGAGTTCCCAGACCTACCCACTGTTCTCTAGGGCCAACAACTTTGTGTTAGTGAAAGAAAAGGGATTCCTCAGGACTGGGCTGAGGCTCATTTCCACTTGTGCTCACAGTGATGCTAGTGTGGTTCTGGAAGCTAGGAGCACTTCTTCAGGGTCACCTCATCTGAGAAGTGGGTACCTACCTGCCACTGACCAGTGCCAGGAAAGGTAATCCCAATTTTTCTGTCTGAGGTGGGGCTGGAACTGAGCTCTGTCTTCAGGGCATTCAGAGAAGGCCCCTGGGGATCTTGGGAGCTCTGAGGGTACTGGGAACCCAGACCTGGGGTGTGATGACTGCCGGGTCTACTTGAAGTTGGAACCAAGACCTAGGTAGGACATAGATAGCACTTAGGATAAGAATGTGCATTGGTGCAGTGTTTGTGAGTGCCAGGCATTGGGCAGAGCACCTGATCCATGTGGATTGTCTCAGGGAAGCCTTGAAAACCAGAGTTGGATCCCAGGAAAGAGCCCATTTGGCAGAAGGCAAAGGACATGCCAAGAATTATGGGGGGAGGGGGAAAGAGAAGGGAGGATATAGTTTACTCCTTAGGGTAATAGTGTTGTGAGAGAGACACCTTGCTGCCTGCCAGCCCCAGATCCCAGCCCTTCATATTCACCTCAGGCCCACTGCCTACAGATATACAAAAGGTGAAGTTTCTGTTGGCTGCCTTGCCCCTTGCTTTCCCCCCATGAGGTCTTCTCTCGGAAGCCTTCCATGACTACCTGTGCCCAGAGTGCCCCTGCGTGAGGCTGTGTGCGACTGTGTGCCCTCCCGCCAGATGCCAGGTCCGTGTCTTTGTCTGTCTTCCCCTACCCCCAAGACTTCATCTGGTTCTGTTGTATAACCCTTGGCCTTCCCACCCTGGAGTGGGCATCATTAAAGTTAATTGTTGATTGAACAAACCAAAATGTGGGGTATTAAGTACCTTGTGTAGGTGAGGGTTGGAATCTGCTTGCCCAGGAACATGTTCCCCAACCTGCATTCACTTGATAGTAATCCTGGGTTAATGCACTTGGACTGCAAGGTCGCTTTGAACCACAAGGTCAGCAGTTCAAGCTTACCAGCTGCTCTTCAGAAACTCTATACAGGGTTGCTATGAGTCAGAATGACTCAACAGCACTAACAACATAGACCACTTAGGAGGAGGTCTGGTAGCATAGTGGGCTAAAAGTTGAGTTGTTAACTGCAGGTAAGCAGTTTGAAACTACCAGTGAGACTTTCTGGTCTGGTAAAGATTGACAGCCTTGAAAACCCTATACAGGGTTGCTATGAGTTGGAATTGATGCCACGGCATATAATCACCACCACCATATACCATTTATACCACCATCTACATCACATTTTGGCCTAAAACAAACTTGCATAAAGCTTTATTTTTAAAGCTTACATTTAAAAATGCACTGAAAAAGAAAACTATCTAGAGTCTTAAAGTGTCTCTAAATGGAAAAAAACCTTGTCATATGCTACAAGCAAAAATAACCAGGAAAATAAATAGAAAAAACTTGATAAAATTTTAGTTGGGCCCTCCTGACTCTCACAGGCTCTAAACCCAAAGCCTGCCTACTGCATTCAAAGAAAAAAGCTTTTTCATGCTAGGGGAAGCTTTCTGCAAATAGCACATTATGTGTGCCAGGGTATAGAATGGAGAACAGAGACACACCACTTCACTACACTAACTTGTTTCCATCCCCTTTCGGCCTGAGACAGTGCTCTGGAATTTTGCTATGAGACCTCGCATACTGTGACAGACAGACATTTAAAAAAAACAAAAAACATTTGTAATATAACAATGTAAACATTGAAGGTTTACAGAGCAGATCAGCTGTTTTCCACTCAACAATTTAGACACATTGTATTTCATGTCATTTATTACTATCTCCACAATGTGTAACATCACTTCTCCTGCTTCTTCCTGTATTACCTATTTTCATTCCTCCTCACCTAACCCTTCTGAACTTTGTCCTTGGGTAGACAATCCAAATAGTTCAGAGAACTCACACACAACACAGGTAACAATCCCAAATAGTTCAGAGACATAATTTTGTGACAAAGACCCCCAAACTCCCCAGAGTGTTCACACACAGGACGACTACTGCCAAACACTTAAGAGAGCTTGGGACATAGACCATCAACAAATAGATACCTTACACCCTAGCACACAGACCTTAAGGTAGCTCACAGACCTGTACCCTCAGGTTTCAGGCACCTACATGCTGCTCAGAGAACTCATACTGGGATAAAAACCCCAGGTAACACAGGTTCACTAAACTATGGATAATGATAAATGCCATGAAGTAGGTTCCTACTCGTAGCAACTCTGGAGAGGGTTTCTGAGGAGCCACTGGTGGGTTTGAACTGCTGACCTTGCTTATTCGACAGTGCCACAACAGATACCCACCCAAACAGCACAGAGATCTTACCTGTCTCATACACTTGGATTCAGATCTCAAACATGTCAGTGAATTTTTCTACAGTAACATACACACACATCTCAGAGACTTCTCAACCCAGGTATGTCACTACCCAGAACTGTTGAGAGCCTTCACACCCTGGTCATTGACACCCACACAGCTGAGAGAGTTCACACCTTGGACACAGACCTCCAAAGAGCTTAGATTATGAAACCCAGAAGTGGAACACGTTATAAAAGGGACAACTAGTGTCAGAGCTAAGGAGCTCTGGTAGAGTAGTGGTTACAAATTGGGCTGCTAACTTAAGGGTCAGCAGTTCAAAACTACCAGCAGTGCCGTGGGAGAAAGATAATGCTTTCTGCTCCCGTAAAGATTTAGAGCCTCAGAAATCCTGCACAGGGTCGCTATGAGTCAGAACCAACTCCATGGCACATAACCACCATCATCAGTGTCAGAGCTTATTTTTAAAAAGGTGGTAGAATGAAGGTATGTCTGACCTCTACCTGATGGGATTCAGCTTTGGGCTGATCCTGGTCATTATCCCTCTTGAAGTTAGACAAGTTCTAACATTGCTGCTACATTTATACTGGAACATAGGTTCAGAACAGTTCAGTGAGATGATCTCCTGAGACCAGATACCCAAATAGATCAAGAGTCCTCATAAGAGGATTATAGACCCCCAAAACAGTTCAGACACCTTACATCCCAAAACATAGACCGCGAAATAGTTGAGAGTTTTGCACAGAGACCACCACAAAACTGAGAGACCTCACACACTGAATATAAATCTCCAAAAGTTTAGAAAACTTACTTGCACAACAGTTAACCACGGAGTTGACTGATCAGTGGTGACCTATGTGTATCAGTAGAACTGTGCTCCATGGTGTTTTCAGTGGCTGACTTTTCAGAAGTTGGTTGCCAGCTCTTCTGGAGCACACCTGACTCAAATGGTCAATCTTTTGGTTTTCAGTGAGCATGTTAACAGTTTGCATCACCCAGGAACTCTAACTGGTACATACACCCAATAAAAACTCAAAGACCTTGACTCTGGAAACACCCTACATGAGTCAGATACCACGTAGCCTTGGGACTAAGATCTCCCAAAAGAATGAAAGCTTCACATCCTAAGATACAACCCAAACTGATGCCAAAAGAGATCAAGGATCACAAATCCTACAACACAGGTGATCAAACAACTTAACAGACTTCCCAAAGCACTTACCCCCACCCCCAGGACTGTAGACCAAAAAAGCTTAGAGTCCTTGAAGCCAGGATTTAGAAACATCTCTGACACTTAGGGTATAGACCTGAAAACAGAGAATTCCTATGATGGATATGCAGCATCAAGTAATTCTGAGATTTAACCTTACACCCCAGGGTATAAACAGGTGCAGCAGAGACTTCAGATTCTAGGAAATACATGACCAGGGACATTGGAACTTCGAGCAGACTAGGCAAACGTGCTACATGGGCCCTCTAACAACAAAGCTACTTGAGACTAAATGAAATAGATGGGAACCCTGAACTTTAGAAGAAAGGTTAGAGAAGTGGCTTGAGTGCTTGCTGGGAGGAGAAGCTGAGCAGGGACAGCAAGAAGGAACTGACTGGAAGGGCCGGCCTGTTGCCACATGACCATCTTGAACTTTTGTGAGTAGCTTTGGTGATAGGACGTGGCCTGGCAAAACACAATTCACACAGATGATGAGAAAGGTATGCCTCCTCCTTCCCCGCACTCCCCTTGTGACCAGAGGTGTGGCCAGTTTCCACCCCCATCACCCCCAGCACAGACCCTGCTCTCTGGGAATCTGGAGCCACGTGGTTGTGAGTTACGCCAGTGTGAGGCTGGGTCTGGTTATGCCGTTTTGGTGCCTGGATTCAGGCAGGTTTGGCTACAGAACCTTCAGAGCCTTAAAACCAGCATTAGTATAGCAGAAACCCTCATAACCAGTCACCCGGTCCCCAGCTGCCCTGTAGTCCTGACATTGAAACCAGCTCTATCAGGGGCCTCCACAAACTACTTCCAGATTGAGTACCCTGAACATAGTTAACATTAGGCCTTTAAGAAGGGACTCCTGGTGTGGTGCTGTAGGATAAACACTTGACTGTTGACTACAAGGTCAGTGGTTCAAACTCACCAGCTACTCCTTAGAAACCCTATAAAGGGTCGTTATGAGTTGGAATCAACTCGACAGCATTGAACTACCGGGGCTAATGTGCTGGGCTGCAAAGTCGATTTGACTACAAGGTTGATAGTTCAAGCTGACCAGCCACTCCTCGGAAACCCTATACAGAGTTGCTGTGAGTTAGAACTGACTCAGACACTTAACAACAACAAAGGCTTGCAGTCCAGGAGTCCTGGTGTGGTGCTGTGGGTTAATGTGCTGGACTGTAAGGTTGTTTGAACCGCAGGTTCAAACTCAACCATTCGCTCCTTGGGAACCTTATACAGGGTCATATTATGAATTGGAAGTGACTCAACCGCACTTAACAACAACAGGCTTGGAGTCCTGGTGTGGCACTGTAGGATAAGCACTCAACTGCAAGGTCAGTTTGAATTATAAGGTCGGTGGTTCAAACTCACCAGCGGCTCTTCGAAAGCCCTACACAGCATTGCTATGGGTCAGAACCAACTTGACGGCACTTAACAACTACTACTAGGCTTATAGGAACTCCATCTAGGGTCAGGAACTTCACTGTCACATTTCTCTCACACACACCTTGTGAGCTCCTTGGCTGGCAG